ATACTTGAGCTTTATCTACATTAGTAGACTATATATTTTATTCAAGAATTTATACTGACGAAATCATTGACTTTATCGTTAGATTCAAAGTAAACAAAGTGTTTCGTATCCATTAGACATGGAATAATAATTTGAATATTGGTTGTATGTTGTAAGCAATAAACGTAAAATGTATATCTAAGAGAGAACAACGTTTAAATAATTGAATTTGCATTTCTAACATAACCTGCTAGTTCTAGCCATTCATGCAAAAAAAAAAAACTGAAAGAAGAATCAAACTGTTTGACTCATAAAACAAACAGCTTTGGTCACATGACTGGAGGATGAATATCTAACTGTCTAGAATATATAAAGTACCAGTCTGCTCAAGTTAAACACTCAAAATGTGGCTCATGATGATTATATTAGACTTCACCATGGATGTTATAGACAAATTTCAAAGTTCAATACAAATATAAACAAGACAAGTGACTAGTTGAGACAGAGCTTTAGAGATCAAGGTTTGGTGACTCAGGATGTTAAAAAAAATGTTATGATTTTTCTATTGTTACGTGACACTTGCTCGTACTCAATAACAAAGAAACGAGTGAAAGCCTACAAGCTTTGTATATTTTAACAAAACAGTTTATTTCCATAGACAACAATGTAAAAATTGGTAAATAGGACTTAAAGTTTGTGAATATAATCCAAATATTGACCCTACGAATGAAAACACAAATCCTATCACCGAATTGTTCTATTAGAATCTAGTTTCGAGTCCTGACGACGTACAAATATGGAAGGCAATGATGTCAGATATGGTCCAATATACGAATATCAACAATTCCTCACTGAATCACATTCTTTGTTTTCGAATAATTCCAGATTCAATTTCCATGAATATCTTTCAGAATGTTTTTTTTTTTATTAAAAAAAGTAAAATTGTTGAGTTTCCAGGGAAACAAATTATTAAATCCAAAAATCAGATGAAGAACAAATAATCTAGCAACAAAAAAATACACCTTGTTCATACATGATGTTAGAATGTTTTTGCCTGAAGAATATTAAAAATGCGTATTAAAAACCCCAAAGCATCATTTCAAATTTAACGAGATTGGTCACGTGGTATCTTACTACACTAGCTTTAGCACGTACACTATTTTGCCCGCCTTTAAGAACCAGTCAATAAAACGTTATTTACACATACTGATCACGCAAAGACAGTATGCCCCCGATAGTGACCAATCATTTTATCTTCCTGTTGACATTGCTGCCAGCTTAAATCGAACTCGGGTAACTAAAACTAATTCTCTCATAATACTTCTTCGTCTTAAATAAACAACATTTGTTAAAAGAAAATATCTCATTACTGAAAACGAATTTCGAATCCGATTAAAATATTCATTACAGTAAATTGCAATGAAACAAAAATGAAATAAAAAGAATTTTAAAACTTACACATAAGCAATTTAATCACATATAAGTAACACCATACGCTTATATTCAATCAGAAAATGATGCAAAACGTTGCTTATTCTTGGCGAAGTGACGCTTTTTAGCACAATAAATACTAAACATGTCATCGTGCGGTAATTACATAACTCTCTAGCAAGAAAATATAAAACACGGAGTTAATGATCGCCAAAATATCATAGTATCACATAAATCACATATTTGTCCAACAAACCCCACCCACAATCTATATTGGTACTGAGGAATATGGGTGTGATGGTACCTGTTTATTAAAATGTGCAATTAAGCTGCATGTAAATCTTTCCTGAACACACTTGCGTACACTTTAGACACTAACCTGTATTTGGTAAAAATCATATCCAATGTGAATTTCAAGATGACCGCAGGAGAGAGGGTTGTGCTGTTCCAGTCGCCAAACATTGGATTTAATCCGGAAATGCAATGTACATGTCGACTAAAGCCCTTTCAGCCAACAAAAGCTCCGTAGTCGCGATAAATACCGGTAACTGTATAAAATGTCCACTGATATATACAGACAAAATTGTCTACGTATGTTTGCAGGTTGTAATAAATAGACGATATCAGCCCATAAACGTTAGTCAGTACCATGACATGTGTGCGGCCAATTTATCTTCCTAACCACATATAGCCCTAAAGCCGTGTAACCACAGCAGTTTATATACTAAAAGCAAGGCCCAGATATCTTGATTGTATTATGCTGTATCTTCGTGCTGTTGATATGCACGCGAAATGAGACGCTAACAATCTAATAGTAAACAATAATGGTAAAGTACTTGTGAAACGCACAAACATGTCATTTGAAAGATATGAACTATTCAAATAAAATAATTATAACATTTTTATAACAAACAAGGTTTGATAATTTCAATAAGAAGCAACATGATGAAGGCACGGTGAAAGAGAAATTGAAAAAGTTCAGCTCAGGGACAAGACATGTACAAATACCTATACAGAAGCTGTACAGTTTGTGGTATATGGATGAGTTTTAGAATACTACTTTACTTCAAGATACTAGATACTATAATATCAATGTCCACTGTATTGTGGGGATTTTCAACGGTGTTTCAGGATTAACATAACACTTTCAACAGCAATTGACGCGTTAGAAGGTGAAAAGCATATAGCTTTCAATACGAGATTTTTTACCTCGCATCTCTTGCGCAGTTTGTAACAAATACAAAATGGAGTTGATTTCAGTTACGACTAAATTGTGAAAGAGAAAAATCATCGGCATAGCAAACATCACACTCATAATAATAAATGTAACACTTGATTCATCGATAATGAGCGTGCAGGATGGATCGATAATGTGACCCTGAAAAGCTTTACAACTCGATAACAAACAAAAGGCCATGTTGTACATAAAAGGCCTCTTGAAAAAGATTTATTTCCATGGTTTTCAATTTATGCTCGTTTTCTGAAGCCTCGTAGTATTTATTTTATAAACAACATAAGTACAAATACCTTAGGAACGTAAATGTCAATGTTATAGACAATCATTGCTCATTATAGATATTCACGTGATAATACACTATATTGTATTTATCTTATATTAGCAAGTCCGCAAGAAGTCAGTTCTTTCAAGTCAAAAGAAAAGAAAATGTAGATGCTCATAAAGTATATATATCTTATAAAATATATAGATCTTCCTTGCAGACAAATTAAAGAGACAAATTTGAATCATATAGATACGGATTTTTCTCTTCGTAAAAATGACTATTCTTATACAAAGCACTTTAATAACCACTACAATCATGAACATGTTTAATTCTTATTAAAATAATTTTGGGTTTAACTTCAGATTGGTAACCTTGATCCAATATTCGTAGTTGTTGTCGTCGTCCTCATCATCATCATCATCATCATCATCATCATCATCATCATCATCATCATCTTCACTAATATAGATTGTCATTACTGTCATAATCATCACTCTCACCGTCATTATCTTCTCATAATTTCTACTTTCTATAATATTTAATCGCCGTTCTTGTCTCCATCATCATTATATCTTATTATTTATCACTCTAAACCATGAAACACAGACACTTCAAAGGAACTTTCCATGATATCAATCCCTTCCTAAATGATTAGGATACTGACGTCACTTCCTTATGTCCTGACGTTCGCCGCCTCAAGGACCGGACTACTTTTTTCATGTTGCCTCTCTCTCTCTCTCTCTCTCTCTCTCTCTCTCTCTCTCTCTCTCTCTCTCTCTCTCTCTCTCTCTTTCTCTCTCTCTCTCTCTCTCTCTCTCTCTCTCTCTCTCTCTCTCTCTCTCTCTCTCTCTCTCTCTCTCTCTCTCTCTCTCTCTCTCTCACACACACACACACACACAGGTGGCCTAGTGGTTATAGCGTCCGCCTGTCGTGGGTTTGATCCCCGTTCAAGTCATACCAAAGACTTACAAAAATGGTACTAACAGCTGCCTTGTTTGGTGCTCAGCATTAAGAAGTTAGTGTTATGACTGGTCGGCCTGGTGTCAGGATAATGTGACTGGGTGGGACATCATGCTATATATCTGCGGCATGATGCCCCAGTGCTAGACATCACTATAAACTGTCACACTGGAGACATCGTAGCGATAGGACTGAAAAATTGTTAAATCTTCGTTAAAAATCATAATCATAATCATATCGAACACACCTCTCTCTCTCTCTCTCTCTCTCTCTCTCTCTCTCTCTCTCTCTCTCTCTCTCTCTCTCTCTCTCTCTCTCTCTCTCTCTCTCTCTCTCTTACTTGAAGATTTTTTAAAGTAAACTAGTTTTGTTGTCATGCTTATTGTACACGGGAAACACATTGTTCACCAGGTCCATTATAATTTATATTTTCCTAGTGATATGCCATTAATTTTCATTCTCATTTCCAAAAAGTCTTCTTCGTCTTCTCCTTTTTTCTTCTTTTTCTTCACAAGACAACAATGTTTTCTAACTTTTCAATGACGATAAGTATACTTTAATCAGGAACTAGTTTGTCATTTGCATTTTCTTTGATGTTATATATTTGTTATCTTTTCCTTAGATTCCAAGTTACAAAAAGGACAAATTGTAGACCCGAGAAATTTAAATATCCATCATTGTTGCAACTTTTTTTCGAAATTCAAAGAGAAGAAAGTTACCATTATGCTTGCGTGTGTGCGTATGCGTGTGTGTCTGTACCTGAATGTTTTATTTGTTCCATATTAAGGACAGTGCTTTATCCGATAATTTGATATGTGCTGGCAGTCAAAGTAAGTAATATATTGCCAGCAAAGAATGGGATGTGGTTTTAAAAAGTAAAACAATCCAACTTCCTTCTTCCTCCTAAGGTCAAGTAATTTGTTTTCAAGTCATTATCTGACCTATAGTTAATTTAGTATGCTTTTGTTTGTGTTTTACCATTCTCATGTACATCTGCTTAACTAAATCGAGAATAAATGAAGGAAAAATGTTTAATAACAACAAAAATTGGAATCGAAACTGATGTAATTCAATAATTGTACTTGCGTACTGATCAATGTAATATGATGTCAATAAGTGTCCTTAACCGCTCCGGTAGCCTAGCGGTTAGAGCGTCCGCTTCGGATGCGGGAGGTCGCTGGTTTGAACCCCGGCTGAGTCATACCAAAGACTTTAAAAATGGTACTAACAGCTGCCTCGCTTGCCGCTCAGCATTAAGAGGTTTTTGTTAGGACCGGTGTCAGGATAATGTGACAGTGATAGACATCACTATAAATTGTCATAATACAGACATCGAAGCGATATAACTGAAAAATTCTTAAAGCTACGTTAAAAAATAACCTCTCATCACATCACACTCTGTGTCCTTGAACTGCAAATCTAATTGTTTACATCGATAACGAAATAGTTATGTACACACATATATCTCACCACTGTTTGCAAACGGATTCTAATATCTAGATTTACAGATCAAAGTACGTTCAGATAATCTCTATGTCACATCCTCTCGAACACAAAGGGTCGTCAATAAGTACGATATAAGGTACGTTGAGGGTAACAATAATAAGAAGAAGAGCAGAAAAAACTATTTATTTTCGACTATATGGTCCATTTATCTAAATTAATATATATATATATATATATATATATATATATATATATATATATATATATATATATATATATACATATAGGTGTGTGTGTGTGTGTATATCTATATATACACACACACACATATATATATATTTATATATATATATATATATATATATATATATATATATATATATGTGTGTGTGTGTGTGTATATATATGTGTGTGTATATATATATATATATATATATATATATATATATATATATATATATATATATATATATATATTATTTTAAACATAACAGTTCATAGATATATTATATACAAATATACAGATACAAAAATGGACTGCATCCAACTTTGTTAAGAATGAAATTAAATAAGAGCTTTAGAGAGTAATTTATTCGATCTATCTACAACTCGAGAATTTAAGCGAATGTCTTAGTTCGACAGAGATTACAAAATACATTTCTTACTATTAGATATTCTTGTCATTATTGTAAACACATACTATCTTATTACTTCTTCAAAACTAAATACATTGTAGTTCACACAACAAAGTAGAAGCACTGTGACATCTTGGAAAGCTTAAAAGAAAGTAGGGGCCCCGAGTGGCCGAGTGGTCTAAAGTGCTGTCCGTTACGGATCACTACCATCTTGCCTCTGTCTGCGTGGGTTCGAGTCTAGGATTCGGCGAATGTGGATACGTGATAAAGCTTGCCAGTAGCTTCTCGTGGGTCGGTGGCTCTTTCCGGTGATTTCCCGGCTTCTTCCTCCACCATTAATACTGGCCGCCATGGGGCCCCGAGTGGCCGAGTGGTCTAAAGCGCTGTCCGTTACGGATCACTGCCATCTCACCTCTGTCTGCGTGGGTTCGAGTCTAAGATTCGGCGAATGTGGATATGTGAGAGAGCTTGCCAGTAGCTTCTCGTGGGTCGGTGGTTCTTTCCGGTGATTTCCCGGTTTCTTCCTCCACCATTAATACTGGCCGCCATGTATAGCCTTTCCTGTGCTGAAAAATGGCGTTAAACCCCAGAACAACAACAACAACAACAACAACTGGCCGCCATGAATAGCCTATCATGTGCTGAAAAATGGCGTTAAGCCCAATAAGAACAACAAAGAAAGTGAAGATTATTCATACAACCAATAACTAGTTTCGTTTCATACATTCACTAAAATCTGTCCACAGAGAAGCACAATACATTGTGCAACAATAACATCTCAATAATAATAATAATAATAATAATAATAATAATAATAATAATAATAAGAAGAAGAAGAAGAAGAAGAAGAAGAAGAAGAAGAAGAAGAAGAAGAAGAAGAAGAAGATGAAGAAGAAGAAGAAGAAGAAGAAGAAGAAGAAGAAGAAGAAGAAGAAGAAGAAGAACAAGAAGAAGAAGCAGTATCAAATCGACTGTGTTCCTCACTTTTCTAAGATCTTTATTTACCTCAGACCAATGCCTCTGTTGTCTATTATGTTGTGTCATTATTTTGTGTTTACCATGCAAGAGTGTATGCGTTCTTCGGTGTGAATGTATGCATGACCGATGAAATTTGAAAGCCTTATCTGATGATAAGCTATATAGGTAGGGTGAGGTGTGAGCGCCTAGGAAAAATAGTGTGCCATCCTTGTGTTTTACAGGAAGCTTTTGGTGGACAGCTTTCAGTGTCAGTGTCCCGAGTCTCTAAAAGAGAGAGAGAGAGAGAGAGAGAGAGAGAGAGAGAGAGAGAGAGAGAGAGAGAGAGAGAGAGAGAGAGAGAGAGAGAGAGAGAGAGGTGCGACTGTCGATACAGTCAGAGTCAACAAGTTTGAGACGACTGATAGACGAGAGAAGTAGAGGAGGAGAAGTAGTCTGGGAGGAGTGGAAAGAGTAGAAGGGGAGGTAACCTAGAAGAAATTAGGATATACCTAGAAGAATCAGATGAGTAAAACACAAGGAAAGGACAGGGCGAAATCTCTCACACTAAAAATCATATGATGAGATAAGCTCAAAGGGTCGAGCGAAATCATTTGAGAAATTCGAGTGATTTGCTATTAATTGTTAATTAAATTGCTGTTTTTGAATTTCACCCTTTGTACCTTTTATTATTTAACCGTTGGCATTGCTGACTGACGGCTCCGAGCATTGCAACAACATTCACTAACCCAACTTTTGAACCATAATCGAGCCTGGATGGGTGCCATATGTAAATAAATATTGGAAGCACACCACCCAAATTTCTTACCAACAAAAACACACAGGGGAATAACAACCCAGCAGCCCTGATGGTACAAGGTTACTTATATTTGAATGAACATCATAGCTTCTAAAAAGCTAGGTTTCCAGGAAGAGTTTATGGAGAACAATTAAGCGGGAAATGTCGGAATATGCGAATAATGGTAAATATGACAACGTACGTTAATGGGGAAAAAATCCATACTTTGTCATTGTTTTATCTAAATAATCACGACCATGATAACACATTCGTATAGGGCGGAAAAATCCGATTATGTGGTAAGCTTTAAGGTGTTCAGTATGATAAACTGACTTGTTTTCCTTTCTGTACTACTGTAAAATGTACAACTTAGTGGCACATGTAGATCTTGAAGTCAAGATGTTTCCGGTAGTTTTCTTGAACTAGCTTTTTTAGATGGAATGTTTTTATCAGATAACAAATCAAATTTTTTTTTCTTATTTACTGAGTTTATTTAATGATCAAACGCATATAAAACTTTGTAACCTTGAGTACCAAAGATGAATAGTCCAGCAATAGATCAAATGTTCCTTGTTGAACTTTTCGCTGGCCGCTGTAACACACTGCTCAACGTCACGAGTAAATACTTTACATATACTGGCCTTAGTGATGACATGATGGAAACAAAATAAACATACAACAATCGCAAACTGAATCTCAGATTCACCTTTATATGTAATTATTCATCATACAACAATCGCCCCCTGAATCTCAGACTCATTTGCATCTACTCTCATATATATATATATATATATATATATATATATATATATATATATATATATATATATATATATATATATATATATATATATATATATATATATATATATATATATATATATATATATATATGTACAATAATATAATATAAACAGTTTGGTGTCCGGACGTTTATGAAATATATGTATTTTCCGACTCCGGGTCGATATCGGTTAGCGGTATGAAAGTTTACAGGATCATGTTTAATAATTACCGTAAAACTCTCTTACAAGTTATGTTTAAATGTAAAATGCCCAGACACTTATCTGCCGTCACATCATCATGTGCCGGCAGGTCATGATTAATATTATATGTTCTTTCGATTTCTTGTAACAAACTGCACATACCCAGATATGTCGACGCATTATGCCACAGCAGATTTGGGTCTATTTGGTCTGCGCTGGACGACTTCAAATCCAGTACTTTGGTACGCACTGAGGTGTATGGGCTATCGGAGTATGTAGATCTAATGTAAATATTATTTCATTTCAAACATAACGGTATGACCATTGTTTGACCCAACTGATTAGACAGCTAAATGTCACTGGATATTTATAACAGGAGAGTATTTATTTCCTTCGGTCGATATATCTATTATTCAGTCTGATTTGTTGCTTGCCTTTCTCTGTGTTTTTGTCTTTCCTTCTTTAAAACAATCCTTTTTTTTTTCTAACAACGTGGGCAGATATTTATTGACAGGTTCGTAATGAGCATCCATCTTACCAATAAAACGTGTACAGTTCATATTCATTACACCAAAGGTGAAAGGGGAAAAAGGATCCTATCTCCCTGGATTTTTGTCACAGAACGCTATTTGTAGTACCGAAATGGGATATGCATAGATTTGTTTTGTAATCTAAATACATTGATAAGCCTGACATTTCTTTCGAATTATCACATTAGCTACTTCTTTTATTTTTCAAAATTTTGTAAAACGAGGTATTAATCATAGGAAAAAAAATCAGTAAAAGTAATTGGTACTTCTGATCTCTATTTTATTTCTTATGACCGTGGGTTGTCTTTTCTGACTACAGACTACATACAAAGTGAGTTTTACTGTGGGTCAATGGATTTGGAGTGGTCTAAGGCACTCACTTTTACAGATCAATGATATCTCACCTTGGGTTCGAATCTCGGGCTCGGCCAATTTTGGTATGTGAGAAAGGTTACCAGAAGCTTTGCGTGGGTCGGTTGTTCTTCTCGGATTTTTTTTTTACCGATTCTTTCTCCACAAGATATACTGACCGCCGTGTATAGCCTGTCGTGTGATGAAAAATAGCATTAAGCCCACAGCAACGACAACAGTTTTGTTGGTGTTGTTTTTAGATATTAGGCAGATTAACATAGTTTTTTTTAAATGGCTTTATATGCATGCGCTACGTTAATAATTCAACTTTCAGCTGGCACTTTACTATGCCGAAAAATCAGAATACCTTCACTCCAGAAAGCTTTGCGAAGCGTCAAGCGAGACAGCTGTTAGTACCATTTTTGTAAGTCTTTGGTATGACTCGACCGGGGATAGAACCCACGAACTCCCGCATCCGATGCGGACTCTCTAACCACTAG